GCTTTAGTTTCCCGTACATGACAATTTACATTGTTTACATCACAATTGATTTAATAATGCTTTCAGTTGAATATATTTTGCGTGGTTTGATGAGGTAAAGAAAATGGTTTTCAGTCTTAACATAGCATGCCAGGAACCTAAGTATTGTATCTTCACATTCCACATAACTATGATGTTTACACTCCATAGCAGCCTATTTATGGTTAACACTTCTGACTAACTTTTATTAATGGCGTCAAAAATATCGATTTTTATTCACAGCAATCTAATATTTACTGTATGTCTGTATGTCTTGAAAGTCTCAATATTGTGTATCTCATTAACGTTTTCTGGTTAACATCATGGCATTGACCCTGTTTCTACACAATCACTCAATGTTCACGTGCTCATAGAGTGGTGTATATTTCGCTTGACATAAATGAATGAACGTCGTAATGAAATTAACTGATGTGCCAAACCTTCCTACTCGTACACTCCATTTCTCTTAGCCTAACAGACGTTTTCATTACACATTCCATTTATGTTGTCATGTTGAAGTTGTGCAGGCCCTGCTGCCTACGATTTAGGGCGGAGATAATTGAGTGAATAATTACACAGGTTGGTGGGAGACTCTGAACGACTAGAATCCGCACCAGAAAAGCTGTGAGAAGACCTCAAAACTGATCAATCCGTGATAAAAATAGCCTTCGTTTTATGGAGCTCTCTCATTGGTTGCCATGTGATCAGATTCACAAGATACACAATAGAGCCAATCGATTGAACCGGCATGTCTGTTGATTTGAATGAAATAGGGAATATTAAACTTCCGGGTAAAGCCAGATCGGTACGTCTCTGGTGATACATGCCCTAATGAACTATGCGAGGGCCTTTTACTTGGAATAATGGCATTCCAGGCAACCTCATTTGAAAACATGCGGGGGTCCCAAACAGCGATATTTTAGAAACACTTATCTTACAGCCGCAGGGCTTCTACAAATCACTGTACTTGTTGGTAACATTTTTTTTCCATTCTTGTCATTGTCTTGTCAGGAAATTTTTAAGATAAGCCTGAGTCATATGTATCTATTTTGCAGCCATCTTCCCTACCTTAACTAGCTAAACAAATGTAGGATGTTAGAAAACCTAGAACTACAAAGCAGAATTTAGATATATAATGGAAAGCATATGCGCTGTTTATCGTCACTGCAAAGCAAGATAAACATACTATTAGTTATGTACAGATTCCGTGTGAAAAATTACCCTTTAAAGTATAACGCTTCCAATATAAAAGCTCAATGTATATTAATAATCCAAAGTGCCGCCTCTGTATTGTATGGTGAACACGCTGTATGAATGTTCATCCCATACCTCTGAATATGGCACTATTTGTGATGTTGACACATACTGCTTCACATTAGCACTTTTTAAATCAGTATTTCATACTTTGGATAGCTAAAACTACATAGACAAGCCCCGGGCCCACGATGAGTCCTTTATTTTCTGGGTGGTACCCTGAAATCATCCCAGGGTTCTTCCAGTAACCATTTTCCTTCAGAATTTTGGGTATTTTTGCTCCTTGAGGGTCAATATACATTGGGCTAGTGTGGTTTCAACTCAGTATGTAGATAAGTGACTAGAATATTGACTGAAAAATCGCGTTTCCAAGCCCTGAAAGCTGCATTGGACGCCTTTAAATAGCCATGTCCAGGACAAGGCGCATTACCATGATAGTAAAAGCCTCCCTGGCTCACTCTGGACTCTCCGTCCCTCCAGATAATGAGAGAGTAGACATCTGTCAGACCTTACAAGACACGAAAGCTAAACTCCAGTCTTTACGCCCTGCTGCCTATGATTAGAGCCGACTTTACAAACAGAACCCCTAAAGCCATGTACATTACTCTGCCGCTCGTAACTAGAAAGTCCTTAGAAAGATGTATTAAGAACACCTACTGCCGCAGGACTCTCTTCAACAACCATTCACATGTCTTTCTTCTCGGATTATAGTTTGACTGCACCACAGTGTATCTGCTTTAGTTTCTGACCTTTTTCAAACTCCTGTCGGTTGAATTTGAATTGACATGTTGATGTACTAAGCTTTACCGCTGTTGACAGTAACCCTGCGAATAAAATCATCCATCACACTATCATCCATTTCATTAAGTAAATGCGCAGTCTTCAAATATATAACAAGCTTGTAACCTATGTTACAACCTATATATGAGTCAAGATAATTGCGTGATATATTAATATTCCATTGACCTATCCGTCGTGCTGGTTTAAGGGAATCCGTCTCGTAGTGCGTAATTCGTTTTTACTGCTAATAACTTCAGTCTCCCTAGACCATCTCTGAAATATGTTGCAGTCGTCGGATTGAAAGCCCCTGTGTAATCTAAAATGCATTGCACTTTCTGAAGTTGACAACGTTTTGGAGCCCATGGAAAGCACATGTAGACATAGGCTCTAACCTTCAAGTACCTGGGCACACATGAGAGTCAAATAAAAATAATACAGCCATGTATTTGCCAAGACCTGGTGTATAAAACTTCGTGTGGGAACGTATCTTTAAAATCATAAACACATGTGCAGTAATCATCGATGTACCGATTCCATGTATGACAACTTTGGGGAATATTAGTTCTCGTAGGACAACAACATACAACCTCGATAAGGTGATAAACACAGATTGTGAAATTATGTTGACTTCTGCTGTAAACCTTAATTGCTGTCTTGCCCCTCTTCGCGCCTTTAGAGAGAGAGAGAACAAGAGACTGTACAAAGCCTGTCGTATTTCACTTCATTACCACGTTATCTCAGAAAACATGGTAGTTTGACTTTCCCCTCAGTGGTACTGAAGCCGATACAATCAGTAATAAAAGTGAAAACTACGAAAGCCGACTACTACATGTTAGTGCTTATTCTTTTACATTTGACCTTAATTATATGTCTAGTAAATTTTATCTTTGCAGTGTGTTTCATCTATGGTTTTATGCCTCTTTTCATTGTGACTTACAAAGATAAAAAATCTTATTTATAGTAAATGATGACGATGTCCCTTATACTAGCCAAACGCTACATATGGGCGATGAGGTATTTTTATTACCGTCAAGTAAGACTGTAAGTATGGTTTAACAGAATAATCAATCATAAATGACATCATAGAGGGCGTGGTCGAATGTGGCTATCAGAATCAATATTTGTACGCAATCATATCGCCCTTCCTTTCGATCCTACTGCCATAAAGAGTTACGATAGATAATACCGCTCCCTGTGTGATAATAATGGAAAATATGAATCGATGGATTTTATCAATTGTAGCGTATAGTACAGTGTACAGAGAAAAAGGCGAGAGATGCTATTTAATGTTGAGTAATTGTGAGTGAATTCCTGTTCATTGTCTAGTTGGGAGTACCCGATGAGGAGTATTGGTTCTGGCGGTAACACGCTATCTGGTACAGGGGTGTCCAGATGGCGCGATTCACCGGGATCAATGGACCGTATCGTCTACATGTTGTAGCGGATTATCTGCGGCGTTGCTCATGACAGGTATTAGTGGGATAGGACATCATAAACTTAAGTCCGAGGGGCGACGCCTACAACTCTTCTACTGTCTTTTTCCTGGATAATGAATAAGTTTATTGCAAATTCCTGTCCGAAGGCTAATTGCAAATGACAAAAGCCCCTGCATGTTGGTGGCGGCATGATATTGTTGAAAAACTTGAGTGTGTTCGCACCACGTCTTGTGATTGCATGTTAGAATATAAAAAAATAACAAAAATAAAAGAACATTGAAACAGGCTAGGGTACAAAATAACTTCAAATTCTAGACACAAGGTAATAAAACTACCTATATAAAACTATGTCTGAGGGTTTGACTTTTCTTTTGTAAACCATAGAAGATGTAATGTCCCACCTTTTTCAAAATGTGTGGGATAATGATCACCAGCTTTCTGTGCTATATTATGTACAGTCAATATTTGAGTATCTATTGAATAATTAAGACATGATACCACATATTATATCAGGAAACCACCCTTGGCTTTCCGATGGCATGAGGATTGGTTGACTGGACATCAATCATGATATCCTAAAGTCAATGACGGCACCAAACGACGGGAGTGTCATGTTTGACGATCATTTGTTTGAGGATTAGAGTTGACAGTCCCGTCATGAATCTGCTACGGTGTTTGAGAGTGACGCTCTTTCCGTGAGATCAGTTTCTACCAGCTACACGGGATATGTTTCAATCGCGTGTTAGATGAAGGAAGCTCGTATACAAGAACACTCAGGCTCACTTACCATCCACCAAAAGACCACATTCTATAATCATGAGTTGAACTTGTGATCTCTCCGGTCACGAAAATTCTTTCACCGCAATAATTGTGTATGTCTGCAGCTTGCTATTATGTGGAGCAGCGAACATTATCTACAAGAGTCATAGGAAATTCCCGCTGCGTTTATGAATGTCGAAACTTTACCTACTGAGAGGGATTTTAAAAGCTACAGTGCATTAAGCTAGTTAACACGTACAGATTGCCAGCGATTGGGTTCGCTCTTAGATTCGTGCCTGTCACGACAGAATAACGGAGAGGCTCTTAATAACGCAGGTCACGATCAATACAACAAGTTCGCTTTTCCCGGCATGCCAGTGTGTACGGAGATAGATATACGAGCGTCCGAATGGGCGAGATCACTCCGGTGTTAGTATACATCGAATCAGTTGTTGGGCCTGATGGCCGCTAGGCGTTCCCATCAGGAATAATTTCGGGCGCCGAGCCTTAGATTTCTAATGTGATTTGTGGCTGGAGGTACAAAGTGCACGCAACAGATTTGTACGGCATTAGCCGAGCGGCGTTACAATATTGCCAGCACTCCCCCAGGAGCCTCGGGTCGAGCGAGCCGCGTCTGAAATAGCCGCCGGACCCGCGTGTGCCGACACTTTCCTCAAGACTGATGTCCCCTCGGACAAGGAAACGGCGTTTCTTCGGCAGCGAGTCAAATTAGAAGCACATCTATCAGAGCGGTAGCGAGGCGCTCTGCTCGCCGGAACTTCGTCTTGCCATAGCTGTGGGGAGCGGGGGAGGCGGGCGAGACATCTCGTGCCATTTCTGTACGAGTAAGACTCGCTAGAGGAGAAAACCATTATACACATTAGCACTTAAGTTGGAAGGACGAAGCTTGGCCACTGCAGCGACAGATAAGGCGTCCCATCGCCCGCAGCATGGAGCCTACTAAAGCCGGCGTGTCGCTGGTCTGGGCGGTTCTCCTCAGCACACATGGTGAGTTCACCTGACATTTCTATCCTACATGCACCAGCCTAACCACAGACTGGGATTTAGAACTGTGAAAAGTAAACAGTGTAATCTATGCACTTGCCTGATGTAACACAGAGGCGTATCACCCATTTTCACTCTCCATTACTTTACAGCAATCGATGAACAACCATCTGGTTTCTATTACCGCAGACACTTTAACCGGTTGATACAGTTGTACAATAATGAAATAGATTGGTGAAGAAGAAAGGAAACGATGCGGGTGATTCCAGCCCCGATTATTGTCGTGACTGTCAGCGTGCGTACCATCCGTCTCAATAGTGTGTCCATGTTGAATACAGCACAGAACCATATCTATGTGATATTAGAAGAAATTTGTCAAACTGTGAATGTTGAATTATGATTCCCATATTGAGATGTATCTTTGCGATGCTGTAGGAAAACGAATGCGTTTGTCTCATGGCTAAGCGATAACGCAGACAGGGCGGATGTATGTACTTCGTTGCCGGTCACCCCATTTATCTGCGATAACTAGCTACCCGCGGCAGAACAAGTGCGCTGACGAGCCTTTGTACCGCAAACTATGAATGGCCTTTACTTGAAAAGGCGACCGAAAATGACTGGCAGTTGAGATGGGCGCCGAGATACTGAAAGGGAAATATCTCAGGGCTAATTCCTTCCGCGGTTCGCAGTTGCGTTGCCGTGATGGCGATCTCCCAGGTTTTTCATTCCTGTAATTATTCGTGCCATAAGGATGATGCATGACATTGGTCCGCGGTCATGTCATGGCGAGGCTGAGGCTACCCACTGGGCGTGTAAGATTGATGTCAGTTTTCCTGTTTGCAGAGCTGGTGGACAATACGTTACACGATTTATGGCGTCATTCTTTATACAGCTTGTTCTCTGGTCTCAAAGGTTACTAGCTGTTTTATTTCTAAAAGCCTGCTTCATTCTCATTGCCATAGCCGACCGAAACTCATTGTACATTCGTTCACAGTACCAACAGAAATCATTGGACAAACTGCGCTGTCCTTTTTAAAAAAAAAAATTCCCAGCAATTTTGCTTGTATTTATGAACCATGTGAAGTATGGCACTTGGGTGTTGTGGATGTGCTTATTAGCGGTAGCGTTAAGTGGCATTTGAACTAATTGCCATCGAAAAAGAAGGGCAAAGTACCATATTCAACGCAACACTGGCTTTTGTTTAAGCTGCAACAATAAGCATGCAGGTCAGGCTTACTGGTGACTCTATTGATAAGGGTTATCTCTTAAATGCTGCAAAACAATTCATACATAATTTATCTGCAGACCCGACTGTCAGAACTTATAGCAAGGACCCACGCGGCGCCAAATTGTTTTGATGGAGTTCTTTATTATGATTTAAGCGACGAGAGTCCAAGTTGTCAGGATGCAGGCCCTGGCGCTATTGCAAGTTCATCATCAATTTGATTGCTTGTCGTATCGTAAAATATCATTCCAGAGGCGCTGTCAAACTCATTAGTATGTCTAAACTAGAAATATTTGCGACATGACTCGCATTCTATAGTTTATTTGACATTAGGTTAGTAGAATGATGTATGATTATAATACCAACGTTCTGCTTCCCTCATATTGACTGCATTATCCCTATTTCTGGGAAAATAAATCCATACAAAATTGTGAGACGAAGTTTTGAGAAAAATAGGCCGTCACGTTTACAATTAAAACAGATCACTTCCTCTGCATTAGGTAGTCTTATATCCTTCACAGAGCAATATCCCATGGATTAAGTCCCACCAAAGAGGGTGTGCATTAGAATAGTTTGTGACGGTTATGAGTAAGGAGAAAACTGTAAGTGTTGGGTTACAGATGGGGTAGTGACCGGGTACGCTGATCAATACCAACGCTACATTAGCGCAAAGATGTGACAAAAAGAAAAAAAAGAAATGAAAGTCAGAGATCGAAGTGTAGGTGGTTTGATTGATTGCGTGATTTGTGTCCGTGTAATTGCTTCTGTCACGGACATGATACATGAGGAGAGGCCATTGATTTGCCACGCTTTGTCGGCCTACTCGTATTAATACCGCATTAGATATCCGGGGGACGCATTTGGGTGCGGCAACAGAATACTGTTCATCTTTATTAATTCATAACCAATTCTAAATGGCAGCCTAGATGAGAAAATATGATGAAGGAAAATAGGAGTCTGATTCGAAGCTTATGTATTTCATACTTATCAAATTATGTTTGGGATATTTATGATACAGTTGATGAGGGAACGTGAGTAAGTAATGTTCTGTCTGAGCGACTCCCTTACATTAAACAGAATGGTTTTGGAATATTAGCGGATGAATACCAAGGGTGCATTTGTCATTTCAGCGAAATTGAATGCCATTTTCATTTTCGGCTCCGCGTTGCCATGACAAATTAATACGACAACTCAGCTTAAAGTGACGGGTGCTCGCAGCAGATGAACGCGCCAGGCTCGGCGCTTTGTGACAGTTCCTCCATTTGCGTAAATGCAGAGAAATTAAAACTATCGCAGTGTTCCCCCACAGGTGCGATTGACTGCACAATTAAGCCCACGTCTCGACGTTGTTAGAATATTTTTTGCGAAGCTGGGTTTAGCGATATCGAAGGAAAAATGACGCATGGTGTAATTTCCTAAGCCGTGAGCTGCGAGTCCGCTGGTAATCCACGCACTAATGTTTCTTTAACCCCAGGAGCACGTTACCGTGTGTCTGTACCACACGATGTGACATTTTGACAAAAAACTGAGATGTGCTCTGGCAGCCGGGAAAGGTTAACGCTTCAGACCTATAGATGCGTTTGGATTACACCATCTAAAACCCTGTCATAAAATACCTCAGAGAAAACATGTTAGATACGACAGCTTCAGTGAATAATGCAAAGAAATAAAACTAGACGGAAACATTTCAGACGCATGTGCATATACTATATATTAACTTAGTTACAACATTAATCTTACACATAAACCTATAATGAACTGTAGCCAATAAAATGTCATAAACCAACGGCACTCTGGAATCTGCAATATCTCGGCGCGTTATCCTAACCACATTAAAACAACAAAGTCATCCCGCGTTATTTACTGTGGAGTCCCGGAGATGAGACTGGGGAGATGGGCACTTGTGCTCATACACAAGATGGATTAAGATATGTCTAGCTTTGTGACGAGTACGGAAATAAACGCTGGTGATTCATTTTAAGCTAAGACCAGGATTTGTGCCCGGGTTACTCAAAATTCATGTAATGGTTTCCCCAGGTGTGGTTCAAGCTTTAAACATCATTCAATCAAAAAAGTCCCATTAGCAGCTGACTACAGTCTCCGGCTTCTACTGCTGCCGCTGATGTTATCAATGCGCCTGCGCCGTTATCTTCACAAACAGAGCTATCTTCCAGCCTACGTCGACATTAAAGGGGTAACTGTGAAAATTGGATGAACAACTAACTGAAAAATACAATTGCAGGCAACGCTTTTCCCCCATTATTATGTGTGTCACGTCACACTACCAGATACGGCATCTTCCACAGTCTCCAACGTGCATTAAAACGTTAATCATAGGAGTCCATATGAATACACTTTAAAACGGTGATTATGTTTGGGAGTAACAGGTTCTGCCTTTATGTGTTGAGTTACTGCTGGAACTTTTCTTGGCTGCCTTTTACTGCAGTAGCACAAAAGGTACTCGTAACTCGGTGGGTCACTGATACAGCAGTATTGTGAGAATGATACTCGGTATCATGGAGGGTTTTAAAGTGGTCGTGTGGTCACAACTCAGGAGAGTATGGAAGCTGTAACCCATGAAAATGGCCATGCCATGATTTAATACAGATGTCAAGTGTAGATGACTATGTAAAGTAACACATTTTGAACACAGTATGTCCAGCAAATTAGGTTTTAGCTCTCTCTAAGCTACTACACTACAAATCGATAAATAGGGTGATGTCTACACTCTGTTCTCCCGCACTCAATATATAGACCTACAAAAAACTATAAACCGTGGTGCCAGAGATTTCATGTGGTTCCTAAATATTGACCAACCTCTTTAATTTTGTTTCATATCACGTCTCACTGGCCACGAACGGTAAAAGTCGGCGCCGGTCAACATGCTAAGGTGACCTTCTACTGAGGGAAGTTCGAACTGTTCCGAAAATCAATCACCTCGCGTTATCTTCCACATGTAGGCTGTCAGCAACGTGAGGGCGCCTCCGGGGCTCGTAGTTTGTAGCAGAAAATCTTACGGAAATATGAAACATCGACGTGATGAGAAGATTCCCATTCCAGAAGGACAATTACAAACGCTTAACATTCACATAACGTATAATAATAACGTATGTATTTCGTATGCAAAGTGCAACCACTTCGACTGGGGCTTCTGGTCCAAATTTAAGTTTTATTTGAACTTTGATGGAGCGATAGGAAAGATAGTAATTTTCTTCTTTTCCATGGGAAATGCTTGCATATGTGAGTTAGCATTATACGTGTACGTCGACAAATTCCTCTATGCCACTACATGGAATTGTACAGTTAAGAACAGCCCTAGTGTGAGCATAGAGTCATGTACGTATTTCCCCTTCAGGGGTGTATAAGAGGTGCTCCTTCTCCAGACAGTATGACTACCACTGCAACGTTACGAGGAAGTAAGAAGTATGTAATATACTCCTCATAAATGTTACGTCCTCACAGGTATATGCCTGCAGCAAAGGTTACGGTATTCATCTGCTCCCTGTTACATTTTACGACAACATTTCTCGCGGGCAGAAATAACTTTGGTTACTTCACTTTCAAATCTCAGGAGTTGACTGAAATGTCATACATATTGAAGTGATGATATGTAACTTTTCTTAGATCTTTGCCAGAAGGCGAGGAACTGGATTTGAATCACGATCTTACTTAATTCAGATCAATTTATTAAGTTACAGGTCGATGCTTTGATGTGGAGGAGGTGTCCTAATTTATGACATCCAGGATGATTTCTCAGCGCAGTAGATTCACAAATGTTTTTCTTATCTCTCTCCCCACAGGAAACAAGTCGATGTAGTCCCCGCGGAAAGTAGAAGCTGAAATGCCCAGGCCAGCTGCGGCTGGTGATAGTCAGTGATGGCGCTTGTTGCGTAGATGAGACACGCTTACTGTGATTACATTTATAGAACCATCTGTTTAGCGTTTGCGTGTACGGGCAATCCTGACTTGTGAACTACCGAGCGAGAGATTTACATTGGTAGCCTGTGGGATTTAGATTTAATTATAAACAATCATTAAGAAACACCTTACCGAAACTAACCATGTAGTTGATACGTTTCTAGTACAGGCAGGAATGATTTTTTCTCTTCCATTAACCTCTACACGTCGAGATTGAAGAACCGATGCCATTTTCTAAGCAGAGCCTCTCCATCCTGGTAATCTCAAAAATCGAAGCACAGAAAGCTCTCCATCCAAATGGATGGTCGGGCGCGCAGTACGTCTGTTCCGAGCGGTCTCGTCATCAATTACCGCCGCCCTGGTCAGTCCTGAGCCCACGGAGCTGCAGATTTACCCCAACCTGTTGATAATACTCATGCTGAAATTGTAAGACGTGCGCACGGATAACAAGAAAATGATTATACACGGGGATTCGTAGATCCGTGAGATCAACGGACTAAATCAAATGCTGACCCCCGCACAGATTACTGTATTCCTCGTCGTATCGCAATTACTCTTGAAAAGTAGATACCCAACTTATTCCAAACGTACAATTCTATCATGCATAAACATATTCCTTGTTATCATAGAGTCAAAGTAGGAAAATATAGCACTGACGGGTTTCCAGGGTTCGTTGTCAGAGACATTATGACTCAGAACCTGGGAACCTTCGATCCGGGGAAATATCAAGAGACACGCATTTCCCATTACTCGCTGACCTTCTTCGACATTACGCTACATGGCAGTAATGCATGGATAAAATGCATCACCAGCTTATCCATTCTTCACTGTCAGTTACATTTCCTTCCCTACCTACATCCCGGTACTCAAGCGGAAACCGCTCGAAGAGGGCACTCTGTCCCAATTAAACAAACGTCAGTGATTGCCACGCGTGTCCAAAAGGTTAGAAAATCTTCTGCGAAACAGTGGAGGTGGGAGGGAATCGATCGAGAAAATGTGTTTTACTCAATCAGAAGTGTGCATGAGATGTGTATCTCTGGGTGCATCGAGCCCGCTTGTCTGGAGATATGGCCGTGATTGCAAATGACTTCATCCGATGAACTGCCTCTCCGCGACCTCTGACTGACCCATGTGGCACATCAGAGCTGACGAAACAATTTATGGTTTGATCAAATCCTCCTTTGTGTTCGACCAGGGGCTACGTCTGGGCAGCCCTTGTCAAATTGCTACACTTACACAATAGAATCCCTCCCATACGTTAATACTAACCCCACGGGACAGCTCAATGCTTTCTTCATGGCTGCACAATCTGTTCATAAACATATATTTGCCCATATAAAACGGCATGATTTAATTGAAATTTTCTGCATGAAGAAGCACGTATATCCTGATAAAGTTTTAGTGTGTGTAGTCGCTCTGTGATAGGTGTTAATGCCTGATATATGATGTAGGAAGGGATTTTATACCAACATATAAGAAGATATGAGGTGCTAATTTTCTAGATACAAATCTTTTCAACTTTATGAGTTTCTTTGACTGCCTGAAATTCAGACGAATTTATTTGATTCTTGTGCATCTCAATTTGCAATAGAGCTGCTAGTTAGAAGGAAATGACATCCGCTCATACGTGAAAATTGAAATTTTGTTAAATTTGTTGCTCGCCAAGCAGAGGTTTGGGTTTAGTTTTTTTAAACGTGCTTTCATAAGGAGTTTTTATCGGGCTTCCTTTTTAGTGCTGGTACGAGACATGGTGTCTTTTTTCGGGTGGCACGTTGGATATTGCCTTACTTTCATGATACTGCAGTCTTGATAATTCGATACTGTCTTGCAGCCACGAAAAGATCTGCTTGGAGATAAATTATAAACAAATGATGATTAAAATAAATACATTTGTGACAAAAGCATGTTATTGCAATAATGTTTATATTTTTAATGGCTATCCACTGCGCTACTGTGTCAAATGATAACTATTTTGCAGCATACATGACCACGTATACCGTGTGATTTTACAGGAATGTCGTCTGATTTTTTAGATCATTTTCATCATTTCTCATGACTTCTCATCTCTGCACAGTTGTCCGTTCTCAGCCCGGGATAGAGCTGACCCTACCGCGGAGTGTGAACGCAGTAGTCGGGAAGGGAGTGGTCCTTCCCGCGGCTTACTCCACCAACAGACGCATCAACCTGATCGAGTGGAGCGTCATCGACAGGACCAACACCAAGGAGCGGAGACCCGTCTTCCTCTTCAACCCCAACACAGGGGTGTTCAACTCGGGGTGGAACTACGGGAGAAGGGTCCATCTGGAGGAGCAGGCCTCGCTGCGGATGGATCACACCAGGAGAGAGGACGCCGGTACCTACGTGCTGAAGTTAACCACAGATGACTTACAAACTACGGAGGCACAAGTCGAGCTGGTAGTCATGGGTGAGTGTTGACATCTAACCCGTTCTTGATGTGTAAATATAATAGTTATTGTGCTAGTATTCAAATGTAGCTATATTAGCATAATCTTCAAGCATATCCTACCGTGACAAGACATTGGCCACAGATGTTAATGGTTACAGGATAGCTAATGGTCATAGCTCTAGCCAATTGATACTGCAAACTCGGATACTGTTTTGCCACCGTAGCATCTGCTTGAAGATTGTATTAGTAATAGATCGTGTAATTTGCAACATATTCTTCCAAATCAGGACAACATCATTCCATACTGTTCTTGGCCTTTCATACTTGAACCACATGCATTTTTGAACAGCAGACAGAAAAGTTTTCACAAAACTTGAGATACTTTTGGATCACCATGTGTAAGTTTAAAGAGCGGCAACTTAATGTTGTTAAGGTTGAAATGTTGTAATATAATATGTAGCATTCCGAATCAGTCCTGATGCAGTATATTTGATTATGATGTACCACCTGTAAAAGTAACATCACTGAAGTACTGATTTGATTTTCGTCACTGTGGACTTACCAACACAGGATGATGTCTGTTCACCCTTGTGACCATCCCTTGCCGTGAGCTATAATTTGTATTAGGCCAAAAGAATGTTTAGCCTTGCGTGTAAACGATTCTCATATATCATGAAGGAGCTTGTCAGCAGTTAGTTTCCTCCACAGAGTTACAAAACAAATCAAGTCGGCGTGAAATAATTTCATACCCGCAGCTCGAATTCGGGACGATATATTGAAGTGCAAAGTAATTTCACGGGCGAGGCTGCAAACTTTACGTTCTATCCGGTCGGTAAGGAAGAGATGATTGGGTTGGCGGGTCAGACAGTTGCCGTGCAATTCTGATTCAAACCTAGCCTCGCTGTCCAGCGTAGATAGCTTTCATCGATTGAGCGGATAAATTAGGTCCTGCAATCCGAGCTCGCTCCATACAGATTAAATCAAAAGATAACCCGTGGAAGCTCAATAAATACACCTTCGTTCTTACAAGTAATGGCACCCGGGTTGGCATTAATGGAGAGGGAGAGGTGGAGTTACAAATGTCGCCTGCATTATTTAACGTTTATCGTCTCATCTACCGCGACCTAATTGACTTCTCGCATGCACTGCACCTTGTTATTGATGAAGTCGACTCAAATCCAAAGAGGTCTTCACCCACACTACTGACCTCTGTACCTCCGTCAGTGGTCAATAGGAATAAAACTAATCAGCCCTGTGCGGAACGGCTGATGTTTCCAATAATTTCCTTTTTACCGTGACCCAAACTGTCGTGTTGAGAATTTGGAAGTGTTGTAATGACATTATTGAGGAATTGATGAAATATAACTCAGGGATAGCAACAATATGGGATAGGAAGAATATTTGAGCAGGAAATAATATCATTTGCAGAGGGTCAATAAAAATAGTCAATATATATGTATTTGTAAATGATTTTCCGTTGTAATATGAGTTATGTTCCAGTTTATTCTATTCATATGAAGATTATAGATTTTAGGTTGAAAATCCATTTTTGTGCATATTTCATCATAGTGTTACTGAATGGGTCATTGTGCAAGGCTCCTACTAGGATTTTGTATAAGTAAACATCAGCACTACAAATGTGCATAATGTGATAAACATTATTGTTGGGCTTTGCAGAAAAGTACTTACTATAGATCTAAATGTAAATGCGGGGCTTATTTTCAGGACCCACCGGGTTGTATTATTTAACACAAGAGAATTTACCATGAATAGGGCCAAGAATATCTTATGACGTCCATTCACCCCTTATCTGATGGAATTAAAATATTCATTCCAAATGCCCAATTCAATAGAGACCTTATCGACTTTTTGTCTAAGGGGTAGCCGGGTGTAAAATAGTGTCACATAAAACAGACCAAAGAAATAAATGTTACATAAGACCGTAAAAATTGATTACCGTGCTATTTGCCTTAATCAATAGTTTAAAGTCGTGCAATTTTCAACTAAAATTAGTTACACACCATCCTCTCGACATATAAGTGTTATTATTTCCCAATTATCTCAATGTGTTTATTCAGTAATATCGGTAAGGCTTGAGTGATGATACCCCTATTGCAGTCATATTGAGGTCATATTATATAGCCTCTGGCTTCGTTCAGACCTGACACCCATCAAAATACTAGAATATCTGACCTCCTTTCCCCCCAGTGCCACCGACTGAGAGTCGGCCCATCGAACCCCCATGTCGTTACAAAAGACTTGTTTGTTTGTTTGTTTGTTTGTTTGTTCATTGATATCGGTAAATGTTGATACCCTTATTTCTGTCATACTAGGACCAATGTAGCTCCGAGCTTCATTCAGACCAGCTAAAATAAAATAGAAACCCATCAAAATATGTTTGTTGTTTATTGTTTATTGTTCATTTTTCTTTATTTATGGTTTTGCAATTACAAATGAAATAAAATGTAACAATCTTAAAATATATAGACATGCATTGGCGGGCCGGAAACCTGGTGGTTTATCTTTGCCCCTCCCCAATACTACAAGATTAAAAGATAAATTACCATTATTACTAAATGAACCAAATTTTAAACGAAGAAGACAAAATAGCAGGAAACAAACAAAAACAATTCGAAGAACTAATAAAATAAAATGAACCATCAAAATATCTGTCCCCCAGTGCCGCATACTGTGCGAGACGGTCCATCGAACCCCCATGTCGTTACAAAGTGCTTTATTTGTTTGTTTCTTTGTTTGTACATTGATATCGGTAAGATTGGAGGGGTGATACCCTTATTTCAGTCATACTAAGACCATTATAGCTCCGGCTTCCTTCATACCTGACACCCATCAAAAATATACCTGACCTCCTTTCCCCCCCAGTGCCGCCGACAGTGCGAGTCGGTCCATCGAACCCCCATGTCGTTACAAAGGGAAAGAGCGTGACCCTGACGTGTTCCGTCAGGAACGGCTTCCCCAACATCACGTCACTCACCTGGCAGAAGAACGGCGTGCCCATAGAGAGGCTGACCCCTGATGACCTGAAGTACAAGGCGGGAAGTTTGAAGTCCCCGAACCTGGTCATCCGGAGTGTGGACAGGACGGACGCCGGGAAGTACACGTGCGCTGTCAGCCACCCCGCCACGGACAAGGACATCAAGAGCGGCATGTCACTCAACGTATTATGTGAGTCAACTGTCTACATTTCATAGAATACAATTCTGGACTAGAAAGGTAACATTTGCCAAGCAAATGCATCATGTTTACCTTTGCATATGGTCTGCTCTGTTAATTCTTACTCAAACATTGAATATATATGGTCAGACAGGAGTCTATTGTAACATGATGAAACCCAACACTAGTTACCATGGTGACAGACACCTGGTTCAGGTCAGAGTGTAACAGAGCAAAAACAATGTTTTCCTTCGGTAAACATAAGAACATATTGTGGTTTAAAGCAAGCTTGCCACGACTAGTAAAGAAAATGAACATAACACTATGTTTAAAGTTAATGATACAACACAAGAAAATTCTTTCATTTAGAGCTTTCAATCAGTTACTCTGGTCTTCCTCTCAGTAATCATAATGCTGTGATGTTTTCTTTTCTTTGCAATTGAGACGACAAACATGTTATGAATGTTTTATCAAGGAATGATTCATACCACATGTCCTAGGGGAAAATAGAAATAGTCTGAACTACATGTGATTGTGGAATTAAGAATACAAGTTGCACCATAATCGGTCTTTGATCAACTGCTTTGTTCTTCAAAGACCCTGCAGCCATCATACGCATATCAGAAGCCCACACAGTCCCCGCCAAAGAGAGCGTGACGCTGCAGTGTATCGCCGAGGGGAACCCTCTCCCCAACATGACGTGGACGAGAGACGGAGTCGTCATGCCGTCCAAGCTGCAGTCCGTGTCCGGCGATCTCCGGTCCTGTACCATGGTCCTGCACAACGCCAGGATGAACGAGACCGGCTCCTACACTTGTAAAGCCTGGAACAGCATTGACAAACCGGACGCCAAGCCGGTCTTCCTCACCGTTGGGCGTAAGTGGCTGGTGCTATTTATGTCTGTCTACTTTTCCTTGAAGATAAGATCCTGTCGAAACATTCTCCACTATATCTTCGTTAAGTGTAAAGCTCAGCACCACATCACTAGAAGTTGAAAGTGGCCTTTGTAGTAGACATTTTAAGTTCAATGTTATAAGAAATGCATTACATGAATCCTTTTAAACTGAAATTATTATTTTTTGTTACTCATGTTAATCACTCGTTAAATAAAAACGACTCTGTGATTTTTTATTAATTGGACGCTGACATTATTTAAATTTCAGCATGGTATGCAACAGATAATATAGGCCTACTAGTACTAGGACTGACTATTGAGATGTGAATATTATTATATGCATAAGATAATGATACTTTTAAATGTTTGTGGTGTACAGTTAATCAATTCATGTGTATACATGTGTACGTATTTTTAACTTTGTAAATATCAACGCAACATTCAGGCAACATTGTTACGTCTTCAATGGTGATATGTCAATTAAAGAAAAAACTTGATTGTTGAGTCGGTGAAGGTTACAAGATACAAAAAAAAAACACTTACTCTTAGACTAGTTCATGCTTATAAATTTTCCTGCAGTCTAGTGTCACTGACGAAAGGTAGTGGATGCTACCTGAAACGTCTGACCGTTTCCGAAATCATCAGTTGCTTGAGTATCTGTTTTTTGACGTACTTTGATTGTTGATCTCCAGCACCAGCTAAAGGCCTGGACATGAGCACGGTTGCCATCGTCATCGGCGTGACTGTCGGCTTCCTGTGGGTCAGTCTCTGCTTCATCCTGCTCGTCTGCTACATCCGGCGGCGCCGACACAGAGCAGAGAAAACTAAGTTTGCCTTCTACTACAACCTGGGGAAGAGGGAACCCAACAAGGCTGATGAGAAGTCCGAAGAGGGCCCTAAGGTCCCAGGTAATATATACTTTATTCAGAGAAGACATCAATACAACAAATGAAACTAGGAAAGTAACATTTGCAAAGCAAATGCATAATAGTTTTACTTTTGAATATGGTCTGCTCTATTAATTCTCAGCCAAACATATATGGCGAAAGGAGCCTAAATCCCTCCTCCTATAATATTGCAACATGATGTAAACCAACACTAGTTACCATGGTAACAGATGTCTGGTTTAGGTCATTGACCTTATTTATTTGGAGAAGAAGAAAAAGAAGAGGAAGAAACTGAGCAATGTTTTCCTTCGGTAAATATAATGACAAAGACAAAGTTACTGCGGACACTAGTTGTAAACAACTTATTTTCTCACCACCACTTGTACATTATTCGAAATAAAATATTTCACTTGACACTAAAACTTGAATGAAGAATAAATAAATAAACACGTTACAGATAAGTGTAACATGAGTCCGAATTCTCTTCAGGGAGAAAAAAATACTACATCTGCACAAGCATTTCAAAGTATCATCATTACAGTATTATGCTGGCCAAAGAGGTGTTCACGGCTTATTGATTATATCACATTTAGGTAAGATTTATCCCCCTAGATTCAAAATGATATAGGCCACGTTATATTTTAGGCTCATTTTTAGGCTCATATCTCACGCCGCGGACCTGTACATCGATGATCAATTGGCGACGGCTGACAGAGGTTCGCGTGGCTAATCAATCAGATACGCCGTGTGAATACAAGGATAGGTATTATATTTTCCGTGGTTGAAATGCACGGTCAAATCCAAGTGGGCTTGGTCGTTAGTATTTCATTATGTCAAGCTGATAAAGGATGAGAAAGGAAATCAATGCGATACAAACGATAAGTCATATTTTCATGAAAGTTAATCTGTGTTGGTAGTAATCAAAGTGAAACGTTGAACTTTATTCCAACACACAAATTATACAGAGATCAAATTTTCAGCAACCACTGTCGCCTTCGCAAATTTCCGTCTCGTAAACGGTCGTCGCCTTTCTGAACGGTCGTCGCCTTTTTTCAGAACGGTCGTCGCCTTTCGGAGCGGTCGTCGCCATTTCCGATCGACCGAACTTTAGTTCCGAATATCCGCGACATGTTCGGGACTTCCCCGAGTTCTTTGAATGTGTGAAATCACACTTCCTGAAGAACATCGCGACCGAAGACGGGCCAGAACTTGGCTAGGTGGATTGAAGTTGCGTGGGTGCTAGTACATGTATTATAATTATAAGTTCCGGGGGTTGAATTATCTAGGTTAGAACTAGGTTAGTGTTTGAGAAATTCTCGATTGGAACGGGAAGGGCTTGGGTAACTCTGAACTCGAATGTCTCTGGGTATTCATTTTTCTTGTATGTGAACATGTCCTCTCCCTTTTTTCTTTGTTTCCTTTTGAAATGCGAATAAACATTATTTGAAAAAAAAACCCTCTGAACTAGAACGTTTGTAGGTTTTCATACATTGCTGAATTTGAAACGGGGGCGAGAAAAACTCCACATGTATTTTTGGAACAGCCCATTGTGCGAGCATGTAATTTATGAATGCTGCAGGATGGTCTGACTCAGAAACATTCATTCGGAAGCACCATCACACATGCAGGCATTTACTCTGACCAAGGACATTATGTCCTGACTGACTGACTCACAACTCCACCACAGCCGGGTTTTATTTTGTTGTCTCAGTGCTTGCCCAGCATAGCAGGTCATTTCACACTTGTCACCAGCATGGCATTGATGTGCTACCCAGTGAATGTGTTGTATTTACATACAGTGCAGTGGTGAATGTGTCAAGTATTAACATTCAGCAAGGTAACAAAACATAGACATTTCGGGATGAAAATAGCTTTACAAGTTTGTCAAAACTCCTGTCAAAGTAAGACATTGTCCCCCTTCTAAAACAGCAGGTCCTTTATTAATCCTACATGAATTTTACATAAACGAAAGGAATACATACCACAGGGATTGAGAAATATAGCACAGGGACGGAATCTATGTTTGTTTTTGGTTGAAGATTCATTTGTCATTTGTATAAACGGCATTATATGAACCCTTCTTCAGTTTGTTGGCGAAGGGAAACAAGAATAGGCTGGAGAAGATCCAGGCCTAGGATCGTATGCTGATCTTATAAAATCAGCAGTTGAGGAGACAAGTTACTTTTCTGGCCCGCCTACGGTCGCCATGTTATGGACTGAGTGCGATTCACACATTCCAAGAACTCCGGGAAGTCCCGAACATGCCGCGGTTATTCGGAACTGAAGTTCGGTCGCTCGGAAATGGCGACGACCGCTCCGAAAGGCGACGACCGTTCTGAGAAAAGGCGACGACCGTTCGGAAAGGCGACGACCGTTTACGAGACGGAAATTTGCGTCGCCTTCATCAGGATGATTAATGACCAATCACTTCAAAATGTAATCTCGCGAGAGTTACGGTTACAAACACGTGACCTTATTCACACGAGACTTTACTGATACGTGATGTGAGCAACTGATGGTGATGTGAGCAACTGATTAAAAGTGCCATCTCTATTAAGTGATGGCTGAATTGATCATATTTTTTCTTTGTTTCTTTGTTTAGCCAAACCCCGACTGTCTGCGCCCATGAACACGGGCATTGGAACCATGAGAAAGTCCAAGAAAGGACAAGGTAAGCTACAGTTTAAAGGAGTATCAATTCTATATATTCCAAGAGCTTGCTACTGTATGTACGCGCTTTTACAACTTGTGCAGTATATCATGCTATCGATTTGTGTTTAGCGTGAAATTTATAATTTTTTTAACTATTCACATATATTTATCGAGCATTAGGAAAAAGCAGATTGCTTATGTGACGCCTTCTACTCAAAAACACAAAGTGAGAGTAAAACACAATGACAAAATACATACATAATTACAAAGAGGGTAAAAGAAAAATGAGTATAAACAAGACGAGTTGATGATCTATCAATTACGCGAATCTACTTGTAACGTAAATAACGTTTTGAACAACACGTACATCAAAACTACAGTTTTGTAAATGTGAAAGTGATAAGGAACCTCGTAGCAGTAAGGAACATATTAAAGATCTGTCATTGAGATGCTGTAGCTCTACTACGTTCATTTATCATTTTTCCTTTGTTCTTGTATATTGATATGACAGAGAGAAGGTACGCCAAAGTTCTCTATCCGTACCTGCCTATCGAGGAGAACGAGTTGTGCCTCCAGATTGATGACGTCATCGAGGTGCTGGAGGGGGAAGATGGCGGCTGGTGCCTGGGTTACCTGAGGGGCAGGATAGGCCTGTTCCCCTCCAACTACGTCTCTTTCCTCAAGGCCAACGAAGGTATTGTACACATAATTTTGCACTACAAATTGAGATACAAATGGTACCAAGCGTGGAGTGTAAAGGAAAGTTTTTAAAGAAGAATCTGGCAATTGAAGAAGAAGAATTGCCCAGCTATGTCGTTACATAATAACTCTCACACAGTGCATGTGTGAAGCGATAGTGCATCCGGGAATGGCGAATTGCGTTATTAGCGCTCTTACAATCAGTAACCTTTATTATATAAAGGCACAAACCTAAAGTAATAAGAGTATTTTTTGTCTTTAATTCATGTAGAACCTGCCACCTTTGACCAATTGCTTACAGTACGTTACGTCTCATGTGAATAAAGTCTCGTATCTGAAACCGTAACTCTCGCGAGATTACATTTTGAAGTGATTGGTCATTCATTATCCTGATAAAAATTTTATCTCTGTGAAACCTTGTGTTTGGAATAAAGTTCAACATTTCACTATTATAATAAGAAGAACTTTTTGCACGACAATTGCACATGGTACAATTTATGGCAAACTACATAAAGAGAGTAACAACAATAGAATATTAGAACTTGTGTTGTTGTTTTTCTTGTCACAGGGAAGCCAGTGGCCCCTCCACGTTCAGGAATCGAGCTGGACGACACTGGGAAACGGAGCATCTAGAAACCTACCGGACACCGTCAAACTGCAACGTCAATCTACTGTTTGTTTCAACGTGACAAGGTAAATGTTTCGATGGATATGAAGAAGCGAATAAAGGGATTGTACATTTAACTTTCGAGGTGTAAGTAAAGAAGGTAAGCCCAGAAACTGAAAATGCTGTTGAGGCGCCATTCGAAAGATCTAAACTTTTAAAGGTTGTAAATATTTCAACACAACTACTTTTGGTTATAAATATGATGAATCGTAGAGGTTGATAAAGATCTCTGAGGGAACATAATGATCAGTTTTGTATGAACCTCAGAAAATGTTGTAATCATTAAATCAAAAATCTTCACGAATATGTTTTACTTGTAATACAGTAATCGGTTGACTATTGTTTCTGTCACCACGTTTTGTTATCATAGGTGAAATGATGAAATACGCATTTTCTGACAAGCTTATTTTTTACGTTTAATTACCACTGTGTGCATGCAGTACAGATAGACTTGAAGTCAACCATGGATATCAACTTTTTAAAAAGTACATATTGCTGGCTATAGCCATTGTGAAGTATGTAGGAGCTGGCGTGTAAATATAACTGTTGGGGATATGTCCCCTGAGGAACCCTAACTCACGATAAAGCACTGTTGTACAGGAAAACCGTCACCGCAATTTTGTGGATCGGAATCATCATCATTCAATGATAATGGCTTAAAACGTGTTCTTACCATAAATACCGCTTTGAACGGCATCTCCGCTTAAGCAATGTGTAAAACGTGTGTAGCATACTTGTCCATGAAACGCAATTTATTAAAAAGTGTTTTAAAGCACGATTTTGCTGGCGTTGTATGAAGGAGACAATCACTCATCTCTCTTTGGACCATTTATTTTCACACACAGGACGGCACTCACGCACAAATGTACTGCTTATCTGACCACAAAAATGACATTTAGTCACGTTTTGCAACACCACTTTTTCCACACGCATGGGCACATATCATGCAAATCCCGTAATACATGTAGAAATATTTAGGCCTTGGTACATGTAAAGACAGAGCTGAGAAAATCTCTCTTCTGACATTTAAGGTACTTCTTCTCGATGTAAACGTTTTCTTTTAAGCATCGACTGATAAGAAACTGTTAAATGGGTCATTTACGTCTTGGGTAAGTTTCCGTTAACGACATTGTTTCCCCTTGCCCAATCTCCTCTTACGGGCGAGAAAATACACCAGTGACAGGTGGTTGCAAAGATAAGATGCGGGGCGCTATCCACGGCAAAATCAATTTACAGGTTGGTAGAAAGAACACTGTGGTTACAAATCAACGGATGACCTATGGCTGCGTGTTTTGAAATTCGCCTCGGAAAATTTCAGAAAAGTTAGTAAAGGCATAGAAACCACCTGTATATTCTAAAACGAACGTTCATGATTTATTTTTTCAATCTTTTAACGCCAGTGTATACGAAATTTCCAAAGTTTCCACTATTTTTAACCTGCTCCAGACTGAATGCACTGCACTCATTTCCTGAAGAGAGGTGATTAAGACAGGCTGTATACTCGTGGACGCACTTAGGAGACAATTGATACTCGTACATGACACGTTTGCATGAGCATATATATAGCTCATTAGGCCCAAACGTTAACAAAAGGGTTTAAGAAAAGGAATAATGGCTTCCAGTTATGAAACTAGCGGTACTGACGCACGTTGTTGCGTAAAAGGACATGAGTACCTCATTCAGGTGTGTTACCACCTATACAGGATGATAACTGATACAAAGGAAGGCAGAGCAGTAAAAGAAAATAGAAGGCACCCCCCCCCCTCCTGTAGAATATGTGAATGTGAACGTGGTCAGATCAAGAAGATTTGATAGAAGCCTTGGACAGATGATTCATACCATGTCCTACTTTACTGTAAGCCATGAATGTTGGTTCACATGCCTCGTCGCCAGTTTGAGAGCAAAAACAGTTATGAGTATTCTACCATATCCATAGGAAACAAACCATGACCAGTAAAGCGTAATGGCTTTTTTCAAAACGTGTGAGAACCAGCAGGATTTTGTGAGTATAATTTCTGCCAGTAACCACCGATGGTGTGTGCAGCGTGCATACCATCTCCGGGAAGCGAACATTAGTTGACCTTTAGTTCCGGCTGAAGATCAAGGAAAACAACATGAGTGTTCAGCGGATGGACATAACGGCCAGCCCCCGGGGCGATACATAAATCCCCCTGACAGGGTTCTGGTTTTATGGCTTCTCTCCAACAGATAACCCACAGACACCTGCACGTGCCAGGGCACCTGCCAGACAGTTACGTTCCAGGAAAGCTTTCCAGGAATGCTCTTTCATCTTTACCTGAGCCATTTAGTAAGAATATTTACGACCACCTCCTTAAAAGCGGTCTACACTACAGGTAGGCTTAGGGAGAATATAGATAATTGTCTGCAGTGTAAGTGCCTGTAGATGGCCTATGAATCTTTGGGTTAAAAGTGACTCAACAGTACAGTCCATTACCACAGTTTTGATCAATTTTCTCCATTAGATGTGTGATGCATACTTAGAGAGAAAAAAAGTTCGTGGTCTCAAGGGACGCTCCTTGTGTTGAGGATTAATATGCCTCATTTCTGAGGGAACGGTTGCAGTGTTTTGGTGAAAGCCTCAAGCGTAACCAGAAGATGAAGAACATTACCATGTTCGTCAGGAGGCCTGCTCCTCTGACCTACAGGTCGACCTCTGCAGTCCGTTTGGTTAATAAGCAAGCTGAAGTCACGAACTCAAGCGTCATAAAGAACGCTAGCGCTGTCGTGTTGTCGGAATCTGGACAGATTGGTCTATAAATCCTTCTAACTACTTCTAACTTTCTGCAAGGACTACTGTTAGAATATTAAAAGTTTTAGCCTATACGTTGTCTTCATCATCCGTGGCAATTCACGTGGTCCATAATGAAACTGAAGGAAAATCATCGCGACAAGAAGCAAGAGGGTGTTTACTATTCACTCAACGCGAATATACCGTTACAGTCTTTGCACGTTTAGTGAAGAACCATGACATATGGTACATGTGGTAGCTGCACATGGGAGAGAAATGCTTGGTCGTGAGTAGAAGTGATATTTGCAAAGCAAATCATAGAAGAAATGCAGTAAGTGCGGTAAAATAAGACTGAACTGTTGATTATAAAAGCATAACTGAAAGGGCACAAACACTCTTTTGTCAAGGCCTGTCAGTTACATGTTTGTCAGCGCCTCAAACGGAATAGACGAAGCAGAAATGAAATAAATGTAGATATGACAAGAGAAATTATTATGTTATAAGCCATCATTCATCGTTTCATAATACGAGGTTCGCATTTCAAGTACTACTTCTGACCATGTGCACTACATCATTTCGCCGCAAGGATCGCGGTAACACTGCACTCTACCCACATTCCACCAGAGCCTGCATTCCATCAGGAGGACGCTTTGTGGCGTTGCAGCACTAGGAGCCATGGCACTTGCCGACGAGTAGCCAGAATAAGTAGTAGTGAAAGAAAGGAAACAATGAAGATAGAACAACACCACAGCCCTATTGGAAACGTCAAGCAAATCTGATAATTCCAATATTGACTAGAACATACATCTCAAGAGACTTTTATAGATTTCCTTCGTAGAGTGAGATATCTTTCAAAGCTTACTGATTCCAACCATGACATCCAGCCAGCTACAAGTACACTTTATATTGATGTTTGAACAGTACGCAGTGGTAAAGAGCACACACCTGATTACAACATACATCATGATATGCGGACTACAGGATTGTCAATGTATGTTTGAAGTACAACTATCTCGGCGGCAACATCAAAGACCGGCAGTTCGACTGCCCAATATTATCTGTTGTACTTGTAGGAAGAATATTGGCTATATCCACTGTATACATCTGGTCTCTGATTTTAGCTTTGTTAACAGAACTCACGTTGTGCAATCTTCAGATCTAGAACCACACAAGTTTACAGTGCCCATGGCTTAGTGGTATGCGTGAATGAGTGTTATCACCAGTAGTTATCACAGTATGAACTTTCAACTGTCAATGTTCTCTGGAAAAACACTGCACAAAATCCACTCTTTAAGCACACATTGAAAGCATATGCGGAAGAGGTTCCATTTCTTCCCTTGCGTGTACTTCACACATGTTGCAAGCTTTAAAGATACGATCTCGTGCAGTGAAAGCTATAGCATAGGCCAATCAAACGCAATTGCATGCAATTCACAACTATACTACAGACACACTTAACCATGTCTTCCAACCCTCCGTCTTCCACTTTGTATGACCGGTACATCACAACGGGAAGCAGGCTGGCATTTTCTCCCGGCGACTGATGGATCCTGTGAAGTTCAAAGTCGCATCAAAAAGGCCAGCCTGCCTGATCACTCATCGCACAAACGTCGCAATTTCCCCGTCTGTCTGTTGGGGAGATATATCCCTGGATATGAAACCTCCCCCCGGTTGAGTGCTCTAGCGTAGAGAGGATTGTTTATAACAGTTAGATATGTTTACTTGTTGCACCCTGGATAATGGAAAAGTCGTAAGTATTTCCGAGTCCCTTATGTAAAATATGGCAAGGCCACCTTTTTATCGTCCAGAACATTTCACTAAAATATAAATTTTGCCTTGGTATTCCATGAACGTTTCTATTACCCTAAATCTCTCCTCTATGTCAGACTGAAACAGCATGGGTGAACCTCAGCTTCTCTAAATGAGGGAAGCTTGCAGTAGGTTTTCCGGGTGATCACATAGATCATGTAGCATGTAGTCGTACATGTGGTAAGGCCATGTTGATTTGACTATATGGTTGACATGCGCGCGCGCATGAATTTTCGGCCGTTTCCAAAACAAAGTTTTTAACCATACTGTATATTGTACAAAATAGTTGCAAAATGAGCAAATATATACCATAATTTGAAAATGATACCAATGTCGTAGAATGCCAAAATCAAACAAAAAAGACGAAAATGTAAAGAAATGAATTTGATGACTAGATTATTCACCGTACCATACTCTGTGTCATTTGTTCAGCCTTCATAACCACGTAAATTTCATGATGAAAGAAACTTTTTTTGGCCAATTTTTTTATTCGCACGCTCGCATCAGTTTTTGGGGT